GGCTGGGGGGGGGAGGGGCTGGGCTGGTGGGGGGAACGTCTCCCTGGAGGACCCAGCCTCTGGTTGCCTGTCCCACTTTTTTTTGTTTCATTTTTTTTAGACCCAGGGGTCTAATTTTCTCCCCGCGCTACAAGTTTGCAGCGCAGGGAACATATTTTCGTTCCTGCATGTGCCTCTTGCCCTGCCTCAAAGGGGTTTCAGGCGAGTCAATAGGCACGTGCGTGCTCATGCGGATGCGCCCATATAGGGCATTCTATGCCTCTGGGACTCATTGGCCCAGCATAGCGCTGAGACCAAGAGTTCAATGCAGTTCAAACAAAAAATATTGGATGTTTAAATGGATCGTGAGAACATCTACGCTACGGTCACATTAGGTGGGATCTGAAAAGGACATAAATCCCCTTCGGGCATAAGTTTTGTGTTGGAGTAAACTTCCCCTGTGAATAGTTTATTCCACAAGCATCCACCATGGGGTTTCTGGCACCTCTGTCTGAAACATTGTGGACTGGCCATGTTCCTGCTTTGAGCAGGGAGTTGGACTAGACGACCTCCTGGGGTCCCTTCCAACCCTAATTTTCTGTGATTCTATGATTCGGTGGTCAGGCAGGCAACAGGATCAGAGAGGGGGGCACTGTAGTGGTCTGGTATAGCCACTTCTATAGCCTTGTAGTATAAGCTTCTCTATGATGAGATAGTCATCTTCTGTAAAATGTTATTATTCCTACACCGTGTTGTATCTCTGCCATGATAGCAGATTAGAGACATAACAAATTTTAAAAATGGCTAATTTAACCACAGCGCAAAATGAAATCTTTTCAAAGCTTCCCAAACGCTACCCTCATCAGGACACAGTCACAAATGTAATTATCCAGCTTTATTATCTGTACTGTACAACCCCACCAAAGCCAAAATCTAGTTCAAGCTCCCCCACCCCCGCTTGTACATCCATACCAAGTGAAACCCAAGACAGGCAGATTTACATAAGCACAATACTGCTGAATGTCAAGGAGGACAGGACTCTTATCTAAGTAACACTCACAGCAAATTCACTTTTTCTGGGAACTCCACAAATCAGATTCCCCAAAAGTACCTTGAATAATGGGTAACGGGGCACAAAGCAAAGCTCACACCCAAAAGCCCACACAGATTTCTGAACTGTTTTTTGGCAACATATGCCTATTTTGGCCCCAAGCCTATGAATCTATAAGCATATGCCAAGCCTGTCTTCACATGAGCAGCACATTGAATTTATTTCTATATTTAAAGGGTCTGGCAAAAAAGATCTTTTGGGAGTTTTTTTCTTTTTTTATGCATGAAAATACACTGAAAGACATGCACCAGTCTCAGAGGAAGCTGATCAATCCATCACATCACACACACATGCAACAAAGGAGTGCAGTATCACACATGCACTGAAGGCCCCCATACTAGACCAACCTTGATGTGATACGGTCCCAAACTAAGGCACAGAGCACTCCACCCTCCCCCCAGGTGATTGTACAAGCTGTTCAAATTACTCTTCCAAATTATTGGAAGGTACTGCATGAATACAGCCCCCAGAGCTCTTTGTTCTTTCTTTGGAGTCTTGTGTTTCTGAGTTAAGAAATATCCTACATACTAGGTATACGCTGCACATTAGTGTGGTGTCACTGCAGCATGGAACAGGGCTACACTGCCAGTATGTTCAATACAGCTCCCCTAAGATCTCAAAATCACCTAGGTTGCCACCACAACCCTCTGTTTTTCCTCCCAAATACAGGAGCAGCATAACTGACAGCCCAGCCTAATTGCACGTAGCAAAGACCCATAAAAGGGA